CTAGAGCGCTGTATGTGTCTTCATTTTCAGGTTAGTTCTTCTGCCGATTTCTCGCAACCAACAATGTGATTTTTTATTTGGGATTTCGAGAAACTTAACATGAATCGTTATGGCATTCATAGCACACATTTCGCCATGTTTCAACTTTTAAGTAGTCAGTTAACAAGGTCTTTCATAGTAGCATTTCTATGGGATTGACATACTAGCATGAATGGGTTCAATTATCAGTGTTCACTGATGACGTCATTTGACTGGCCCTCTAGAGGCGAAATGATGCCAGGAAAAGCGGACGTTTGTCGTTTGCTTCACAGCCCGTTTTATACCCGATATTTAGGGCATTTCGCAGCACATACAAGTTGTTTTTATCGACAGAATTCATTCATAGATCTCAAATTTCATGTACGGAGTGTCAAAAGCCACACCTCTGTCCCCCTTTTAAGTAGGATTTAGATCGTGTTATAATCCAAATCCCCCTTGTAAGCAGACATTTTTATGTTGCCTGCAATATAACTTGTATGAAGTGTGAACAAACCTAGCAGAAGAACAAAAACTTCATTGTTCATTAGCAGAAATGAAGATTCAAGAAATGATCACCAGATTTGTATGATGAAAACAAAGATTCTCTATATGTTCGTCACGAATGAACCAAATCGGTGGAGATTTTGAGTAGGCACTACTTTAAAATTGATCAATTCCGTTATTTAACACTAGTGAACCTTTTTTTGGAAAACATATTAGGGATGTTAAAAACGTTTTACAAATATATTATTTATAAATCAAAATGACAAGTAGAATTTAAATTATAATTATTAAGTCACCATCGCGTTATTTTAATATCACCCAATCAACAAGGCTTTTGTTTTTTTAAGTTGAATAGATCGATGGTCGCAGTTGCTATGTCACAAAGGATATTTTCGTAAGCTGTAATCAATTGATTTTAGTTTCGTAATAATGTAATTTAAATAAATAAGAACGTAAATTTGTAGACATGGGCAAGGTGTAAAATGTAATCAGTAATTTTATTCGTCCGTAATTTGTACAAAGATCTTATTTTTCGTAAGCGTATAAAGCATTTTCCACATTAAAAATCGCAATTCGTACGCAATTTACAATTTTGATTCTCAAACACAAATTATCAAATATATTATAGGAATTTATCTGTAAAGTGTAAAAACCTATGTTTTACTATATATAGAACTTTTTTATTTCTTGTTGAAACGTAAAATGCATTTTTTTTTTTTCCTGTAACATGTACCTGGTATCACCCTCCACCCCACCCCCCCCCACCCCCATTATGTGCATAGGCAATGTGGAGTTCTCGGGACAATCATTATAACATATTTGAATTTGAATGAATGCTGATAATCGGTATTCACAAATTGTTATAAATATGTTCATAAACTGAATTACCGTTTTCTGTCCTTCACGGTGAGCGATTACTTTACGGTGAATATTATCTTTTGGAAAGTATACCGTTTTTCTGTTTCACGGACACGGAAACGTTTACAAAAACTGATCCAATTTTTCCGCAAAATTCAGAACATCCTTGCCATATGTGGCATTTCGTCAGTCAAGTGCCGCATTCCCGGTGTGTGCATAATCTCAAGCAATTTGAAAAAACAATGATGATTTCCACCTGACCAATAACTCACATTGCCGGGTTGTAAAAAGCGCCATCTACAGGTCATACGTTGTGTTTCCTTTTTTTTGGCGGTAATTCCAAAATGGCCGAATTACTCGAAAAGTAACTTCTCGGACCAAGCCATCAGCAGGCCTGTGTTTCAAAATGGTATCGCACTATATAACCTATTCTACCTCTATTTAATGTAAGTATACTATACTAGTGCACTACAAACGACACATTGATGTTGTTGTCTTGGTGTGGACAACAAGCTGAGCGGTGATGACAACATTGCAGTAGCTGGCAGAACAAGGTCAAGTATCGAATGTTTCCGATTCATTCTTTGATCTGAATGGGGGTCACAGTTCGTTCGAATGTATGGTTTGTGTGTGCACGGTTACTAAAAAAGTAACCGTGGTGTGTGCCTGAGTTGATTACTTGCATTACGACGGCTTTGTTCATCCAGACCAGATCAGGGCTAGAACTCCATGTCATGGAGATATCGACGGCCATTGGGCAAAGGTTTGGAGCTACTAGTATATATTGGGGGGGGGGGGGGGGCTGGCATAGAATACAGGAAATAAAACGACATTATACGTTTGTACAGGAAATAAACTCAGTCTTTTTACATTTTGACATTTTAATAATATATTTGATGATTTGTGTTTTAGAATCAAAATTGAAAATTGCATACAAATTACGACTTTTAATGTGGAAAATACTTTATTCACTTACAATAAATAAGGTCTTTGTGCAAATTACGAACGAATAAAATAGCAAATTACATTTTACACCTTGCCAATGTCTATGAATTTACGTTAAATTTTATTTATTTAAAATACATTATTACGAAATAAAAACAATTGATTACAGCTTATGAAAATACCCTCTATATATAGTAAAGGTAAAGAAAAAGAAATGTTAATCCCAACTCCAAAAGTAAACTGACCACAATACTAAATTTATGTTTTTATTTTCTGTTTTGAAAGATGTTTTCTATATCCCATAATTTGTAGGAGCTTAATTCCTTAAAATTATATTTTTTTTTGGCAACTATCAGATTACTTGTGTTCATTGAGCCTATGTCACTTGAACATCAGCTATGAGACGATCTGCTGCCCCATCTCAACTCGCTGGAAATACTGCTAAAAGAACAAAGTTTAGTCCCCCCTTCAGACAACCAGCAAGTTCAGTGATTGTGTCGAGCACATCAGAATATAATAAGACGATTCCACACACTGCCAGTGTGTCTGGTGAAGAACATGTATTTGAAGATGAACTAACTTCTGAAAACCAAAGACAAGGTATATTTAATACTTGTATCAGGAATAGAAATAGGATTGTGGAATCGTCCGTCACTGATGATAATCATGAAAAATGTGGAAAGATAAACGACCTTAGTGAAAAGAAGATACTAGGTACTGCAAAACAACCATTGGGGAATCAGAACAAACTGCAGTTAGGTAGACCTGGTAATTATGCCAGCCCAAATAATGTGTCTTACTCACCTCTACATGCTGGAGCTCAAAAGGTGTTGTCGCAGCCAAAGTATAAAGAAGACAGCGGCGATAATAATCAAAATGAAGGAATGCAGTCAAAATACTATAACGTTATGTGGTAAGCAAGTCAGCTTTTTTCACCATTCACATTTTGTTATCAAAACAAGTAGCAAATTAAAGAAAAACAAATAACAATCAACAAAATGATATGATAGTAATATTTTTGATGCAAAGAATGAGGAATTCAAAGAGATAAATGCCCCTTGCTGTCATCACCCAAATAAATAACAATACTTCACTCACAATTTAATTATTATTTTTTTTCAGGGGAAAACGATCAAATAAGAAACATAAAAAATGGGAAGGCGATGGTAAGTTTTCAAAAGTAATTTTATACGATAGAACTTTGAGTTATAAACTTACATTTGTAGTTGTTTGACCATGATTTTGTAATTGTTTTTTGTGTTTCATGATCATACTAAATGAGCTATAAATTGTTTTTCACTAAAATAAATTAAATTTAATTTATGACAAATATATTTAAAGTTGTGCAAATATTTATTTTTATTTTTTAAGGTATATTTATATATAATCCCAATGCATTTATCTAAGGCTGACGTCATTGTGGGATCGTTTATTAATCACATGCATAAATCTGAAAAAAGTTAAAATGGCAAAGTGTAAGTGTAAAGACAGTGGAAATAACTATGATTACAAATATATCATTGTATGCTAATTTTATTAATGCATGGTGTTCTATTGCACGTGAACGTCTTGCGATACTGTGTAGCACTTCTGCTCATCAATGATTTTTACTTTAGAATTGTTTTTTCAATTGTGAAAATACACACATGAGCTTGCCAAAATAAACCATTGTAACCACAATCCGTGATTATCTGAACCAAAGCTCCGCACAGTCTACAATGAAATAATGTTTGGCAGTACGAGACATCAAGCTGTGTTTATTTTCCTTATCTCCTGTGTTACACCACACAATGGAAATCCAAACATTATTCATATAATGAATGTATTTATTTAAAGCACATTGCGATGTGATGTATACATGCAAGCTAAGAGAATTATTAGATTAATTTTTCCTTCCAGTTTATCAAATGACTTTATGAAATGAAATAAAACAAATCATATAGTTGTATGGTTTATTGCAGCAATTTCTAAATTTCTAGCTGGATTAGAAGAATTACTCAAGTGATGACACTTATATTTTCGACTGAAAGTTTATTTGAAAATGATATGAATAGAAAAATAATATAATAATAATTATTAAATAACCATCATTGCCAACTGACACTCTCAGAGGTCATGCCTTATTACCATAAAATTAGCATATATAAGTAATCATAGTAATCGTCTTTTTGACATCAAAGTACATGAAAGTATGTGATCAAACTGTGGTGCTGGTTGGTAAAAATTACATCATGGGCTAGTATTATCTCTTCGGATCTTGGATAACACCTGTTACTCTTTTTTGACTCCTGTGTGCAAAGCACAAAAAAGGAGTCTTTGCAGTTAGTGTGTCTGTCTGTGTGTCTGTCTGTGTGTCTGTTCCACTGATATCTCAAGAACCATACATTAATTTTTGATGAAACTTGGTGCATAGATGCTGTGGGCCAATGTGCAGATTTGATTAGGTTTTGGTAAAAAGACACGCATATTAATTACATAATTTGCATGATAATTAGCTGATTTTTAGCTGTTCCATGATTGCTCCACTGATATCTAAAGAAACACTCATTGGATTTTGATGAAACTTGGCACATAGATGCTCTGAACTAATGCGCAGATTTGATTAAAAAGTGCTTATGATCACATTTCAATAAAACTTGGTACATAGATATCATAGGACACTGCACAGACCTGATAGTTTTTAGGGTAATATCAGTACATATTAATTACCTAATTTGCATAATTAATAAATTTTCAGCTTTTGATATTTCAAGTAGTAATCATCACATTTCAATGAAACTTGGTACATAGTTACTTAAAGACTGTGCAGAGACCTGATTAGTTTTGGGGTAAATATTTGTGCATTTAATCACCTTATTAGCATAATTAGTTAATTTTCAGCTTTTCGCTTGATAACTCAAGTACTGATCATCATATTTCAATGATACTTGCTACATAGATCCTCTAGGTTTATGCAGAGACCTGATTAGTTTTAGGGTAAATAATTGTGTATATTAATTACCTAATTTGCATAATTAGTTAATTTTTTGCCATGAATGAATCTATAAAGAACTACTAATTGGATTTTATTGAAACTTTTATAGAGTATTCATCATCACATTTCAATGAACCTAGGACTATGCAGAGACCCAAATAGTTTTTGGTAAATATTTATGCTTATTAATCACCTAATTAAAATAATTAATTAACACTGATATTTCAATTACTGATCATCACATTTGAATAAAATTTGGTACATAAATGCTCTAGAACAATAGATAGGCCCGAATAATTTTGGGTTGAAATTTGTTCATATTAATTCTCTAATAATAATTCATAGTTTTTTTGTTCTAATCACATTTCAATGAAACTTGGTACATGGAAGGCCTTATTAGTTTTACACTCAAATCTGTTCATATCAGTTACCTGATTTACATAATTAGTTTTCAGCTATTCCATCAATATCTCAAGTACAAGTAATTTTGAATTAATTTTTAATGTGTCTGTCAATACTCTCAGCACACGGGAGTTCTTTCTAAGCTTTCTTTGATTTATTATTATCGTTATAGCTATATTAATCACTAAAGAAAGAAGTGTGAAATTATTGGACATGGAAGGCAAGGAGTAAGTATCATACTGTTACAGTTTGTTAAAACGATTCTATTTTGAAGTGAAGGATTCATGCACTCCTGTCCTATTGTCTTATAATATGAGGTTATTATGAGGATACCTCAAAGTATGCACGAAGACAGTACAGCAGGAGTATCGACTGACGTGCAGCGGAGGTCGTGGCGACGATACGAATGCATACTTTGTGATGTCCTCATAATAACCTTATTATTATACATCTTTTCCTTCCAAGGATACATCATGAGAATTCCGGAATCCAACAAGTCATTGTCAATGACACGTCCCCGTTCCGTTCATATTTGAGTGACATATACATTCAAAGCAGATCATGACCGAAATGCACCTGCATACATGTATGTACAACACATTGTACTAAATCTGAACAAAATCCATCCATGCATGACTGAGATCTGGTTCCGGAATTGTGAAAATACGTGATTTTAATGCATTTTCGGTCTTAAAATGGCCATCATTCAGCTATTGTTAAGCGGATCATGAAACAAATGCACATATCTATTTGTGACATGATGCACCATGTGTGTGTGAAGTTTGAACTTGATCAATCCAGACATGTCTTGGATACGGATCCAGAACTGAATTCTTTAAGAAAATGGCCGCCAGTCGGCCATTTCGAACTTGATCCGAAAAAAAAAATGACGTGCATCAAGGTTCTATTATGTTTAATGTAAGTACCAAATTTGAACGAAATCCGTCCATGCATAACTGAGATCCGGGTTCGGAATGGTGAAAATGTGCGATTTCAATGCATTTTCGGCCTTAAAGCGGCCGCCATTTGGCTATCGTTAATGGGATCATGAAACAAATGCACATACATATTTGTGACATGATGTACCTTGTGTGTGTGAAGTTTGAACTTGATCAATCCAGACATGTCTCGGATACGGATCCAGAACTGAATTCTTTAAAACAAAATGGCCGCCAGTCGGCCATTTCGAACTTGATCTGAAAAAAAAAATGACGTGCATCAAGGTCCTATTATGTTTAATGTATGTACCAAATTTGAATGAAATCCGTCCATGCATAACTGAGATCTGGGTCCGGAATGGTGAAAATGTGCGATTTCAATGCATTTTCGGCCTTAAAGCGGCCGCCATTTGGCTATCGTTAATGGGATCATGAAACAAATGCACATACATATTTGTGACATGATGTACCTTGTGTGTGTGAAGTTTGAACTTGATCAATCCAGACATGTCTCGGATACGGATCCAGAACTGAATTCTTTAAAACAAAATGGCCGCCAGTCGGCCATTTCGAACTTGATCCGAAAAAAAAAATGACGTGCATCAAGGTCCTATTATGTTTAATGTATGTACCAAATTTGAACGAAATCCGTCCATGCATAACTGAGATCCGGGTCCGGAATGGTGAAAATGTGCGATTTTGATGCATTTTCGGCCTTAAAGTGACCGCTATTCGGCTATCGTTAATCGGATCATGAAAAAAATGCATGTGCATATGTCCCATATAATGTGTGATGTATGAGTGAAGTTTGAACATAATCGGTCCATGCATGTTCGAGATACAGGTGATCACGGACGGACGCACGGACGGACGCACACAGGGCAAAACATAAGTCCCCGTTTTCGGACTCCGTCCGAACGGGGACTAAAAAGTTTAGAACAGAAGCAGTGAACTTATTTGTGTGCAGTCTGGTGGCAGCCATGTTTGTTTTTTATTAGAGGACGCATACATGCGTAATGATTCCATTTTTGGAATTCGCATTTCTTAATATGATAGGATGAAAATCCACCGTAAAATACCACAAAATTACGGCACGCTGTAACTTATGGCGTTACAATGATAGATGTATAATAATTTTATTTAATTGTACATATATACTACTGTAAACCAAATAATTTTCTCTGCTAGAAATTTTCAGGATTTTTTTGTATTTGTGAAGGCAAAAGCTTGTGAAACTCACTGACATTGTATGTTGTAGAATCCCAGAATTTTTTAAATTGCAAAATTGCACCATTTTAACTGACTCAAGAAATTTGCTAAAATTGTCTTTTCAAAATGAAAGCATTTTGCAGTATGTAAAGAGTGATCATCGTCACATGACTAATGTGCGAGATTTGTCTTGTTAAAAAGTGAAATATTTGCTGATGCATTCCAATCATTCCAGGAATTCATCTTGGTAATGTGTTATGTGTTGATCTGTAGAGACAATCAGCGTTGTTGTTTTTGTTAATATGGGACCTATATCTCACACACACACGCATCACACAATAACTATCATCCTTTAAAGCGGGAGGGTTGTAACTACCTGTGTACGCGCGGGAATTGGGTTCCAAGTGATGATAACAACTAATGTAAAACGGAAAGGCTCATGGGTAGATTCTTGTTTGTAAACAATGGTATGCGCAGGGGACGACTCCCCTGCTTTAAATGTGCCTTGGAAGGATATTTGCAATAGAAGCACATTCTGTATGCCATCTGAACATCTGTTTGGCCATCTTATATAGAAGCTTACCAGTTTACTTGAATAACATAGCACTTCTCCATGGTATATGTCATTGGGCACTGACTTTGGACATCATACATGTAGCTTCTTTACAGTGAGTGTGATGAAAGCTAATCTATGTGGTATCACGTTGAGTACAGCAGTGAGGACTAATTGTCACCATCAGTCGTCTTTTTGACATTCATCTTGGGCATCATCATCTTATAAATAATGCGTACAACAATTTTTATTCGTCCCAAGGATTGGTCGCAGTGCTGGATATAAATTATCAGACTTGGAAGATTTAAAAGAAGGACAGACGCTGAATGTTGGTGGTAAAGAAATTGAGGTAATTATAAAGGCAGATTTACTTGACATGTTGCACTTACGGTTGATTCGGTGAATTGCATAATCTCCCTAATGTCTGATGTTACCTTGTGCAGTTACAGCGTTGATACAGATAAAGTTATAGTCCTTGCAAATACAAGGCCAAAAAATAATGAAAATTGTAGAAAAAAACATGGTATCACCCCATGACTATAAATATATATTGGATAGCAAATGAAATTTTGATTGACTGCAAAACATGAATTCAAGTGGAACTGTTAAATTAAGCTAGATTTGTAAACATTAGAAACTCACTGAGTTGAAGTCTTTGTTTGTCTTCGTATATATATATATATATATATACATGTATAAATGTCTGAGGGATAAGAACTTCCAGTACTCTCAAAATGAAATGCGTTAAAAAATCAGGGCACTATTTTTATTTAGCTTGTTATGAAAGACCAGTAGCTATTCACACACTCCTTCTCCCTCTGGGTCTTCCATGTGAAATTCATTATCTAGTTTAATTAAAAACAAATTGCATTATACCTACTAACAATGGAAACTTAACTTCAGGTGATGAACTCAATCTCTGAGGAGGATTGGAGTACTGGTCAGTGCTTTTCAACCAGTGGTCAACAGAATGAAAGTATTGTGGATGCAAATAAACCACATTTTAGTAAACCTTTCAGAAATCCTCAACAAGGTGCAGACAGTATACAGGTGAGAAACCAAGTAGTTACTGTAAATTGAATGAGCTGTGATGTTGTATGTAACTTCATTTTGAATCAAGTCATTATGTGGTAGTTTAACAATCAAATACTGTCGGATGACTTTAAGAAAGCATTTGTGTCATTACACCGATACTTAATAAAAACTCAGCATGTTATTTAATTGAATTATTTAATTCAAACACCAATCCCAACTTTTGTCACCTTCCGTTGATGACATGTGACATTCTTACCAATTAACATGGTAATGTCATGTGTCTGCTTTTTGACCAATCAGCATAGTGATGACATGAGACTGCATTTTGACCAATCAGCATAGTGATGACATGAGACTGCATTTTGACCAATCAACATAGTGATGTCATGTGACTGCATTCTGACCAATCAGCATCGCGATGAAATGTGACTGCATTCTGACCAATCAGCATAGTGCTGACATGTGACTGCATTCTGACCAATCAGCATAGTTATGACATGTGACTGCATTGTAACCAATCAACATAATCATGACATGTGACTGCATTGTAACCAATCGGCATAGTCATGACATGTGACTGCATTCTGACCAATCGGCATAGTGATGACATGTGACTACATTCTGACCAATCAGCATAGTGATGACATGTGACTACTTTCTGACTAATCAGCATAGTGATGACATGTGACTGCATTGTAACCAATCAGCATAGTGATGACATTTGACTGCATTCTGACCAATCAGCATAGTGATGACATGTGGCTACATTCTGACCAATCAGCATAGTGATGACATGTGACTGCATTTTGACCAATCAGCATAGTGATGACATGTGAGTGCATTGTAACCAATCGGCATAGTGATATGTGACTGCATTCTGACCAATCAGCATAGTGATGACATGTGACTGCATTGTACCCAATCAGCATAGTGATGATATGTGACTGCATTCTGACCAATCAGCATAGTGATGATATGTGACTGCATTCTGACCAATCAGCATAGTGATGACATGTGACTGCATTCTGACTAATCAGCATAGTGATGAAATGTGACTACATTCTGACTAATCAGCATAGTGATGACATGTGACTGCATTGTAACCAATCAACATAATCATGACATGTGACTGCATTGTAACCAATCGGCATAGTCATGACATGTGACTGCATTCTGACCAATCAGCATAGTGATGACATGTGAGTGCATTGTAACCAATCGGCATAGTCATGACATGTGACTGCATTGTAACCAATCGGCATAGTCATGACATGTGACTGCATTTTGACCAATCAGCATAGTGATGACATGTGACTACATTGTAACCAATCAGCATAGTAATGACATGTGACTGCATTCTGACTAATCAGCATAGTGATGAAATGTGACTACATTCTGACTAATCAGCATAGTGATGACATGTGACTGCATTGTAACCAATCAGCATAGTGATGACATTTGACTGCATTCTGACCAATCAGCATAGTGATGACATGTGACTACATTCTGACCAATCAGCATAGTGATGACATGTGACTGCATTCTGACCAATCAGCATAGTGATGACATGTGACTACATTCTGACCAATCGGCATAGTGATGACATGTGACTACATTCTGACCAATCAGCATAGTGATGACATGTGACTACTTTCTGACTAATCAGCATAGTGATGACATGTGACTGCATTGTAACCAATCAGCATAGTGATGACATTTGACTGCATTCTGACCAATCAGCATAGTGATGACATGTGGCTACATTCTGACCAATCAGCATAGTGATGACATGTGACTGCATTTTGACCAATCAGCATAGTGATGACATGTGAGTGCATTGTAACCAATCGGCATAATCATGACATGTGACTGCATTGTAACCAATCGGCATAGTCATGACATGTGACTGCATTTTGACCAATCAGCATAGTGATGACATGTGACTACATTGTAACCAATCAGCATAGTGATGACATGTGACTGCATTCTGACCAATCAGCATAGTGATGACATGTGACTGCATTGTACCCAATCAGCATAGTGATGATATGTGACTGCATTCTGACCAATCAGCATAGTGATGACATGTGACTGCATTCTGACCAATCAGCATAGTGATGACATGTGACTGCATTGTACCCAATCAGCATAGTGATGATATGTGACTGCATTCTGACCAATCAGCATAGTGATGACATGTGACTGCATTGTACCCAATCAGCATAGTGATGATATGTGACTGCATTCTGACCAATCAGCATAGTGATGATATGTGACTGCATTCTGACCAATCAGCATAGTGATGATATGTGACTGCATTCTGACCAATCAGCATAGTGATGACATGTGACTGCATTCTGACTAATCAGCATAGTGTTGATATGTGACTGCATTGTAACCAATCAGCATAGTGATGACATTTGACTGCATTCTGACCAATCAGCATAGTGATGACATGTGACTACATTCTGACCAATCAGCATAGTGATGACATGTGACTGCATTCTGACCAATCAGCATAGTGATGACATGTGACTACATTCTGACCAATCAGCATAGTGATGACATGTGACTACATTCTGACCAATCAGCATAGTGATGACATGTGACTACTTTCTGACTAATCAGCATAGTGATGACATGTGACTGCATTGTAACCAATCAGCATAGTGATGACATTTGACTGCATTCTGACCAATCAGCATAGTGATGACATGTGACTACATTGTAGCCAATCAGCATAGTGATGACATGTGACTGCATTCTGACCAATCAGCATAGTGATGACATGTGACTGCATTGTACCCAATCAGCATAGTGATGATATGTGACTGCATTCTGACCAATCAGCATAGTGATGACATGTGACTACATTCTGACCAATCAGCATAGTGATGACATGTGACTACATTCTGACCAATCAGCATAGTGATGACATGTGACTGCATTGTAACCAATCAGCATAGTGATGACATGTGACTGCATTCTGACCAATCAGCATAGTGATGACATGTGACTGCATTCTGACCAATCAGCATAGTGATGACATGTGACTGCATTCTGACCAATCAGCATAGTGATGACATGTGACTACATTCTGACCAATCAGCATAGTGATGACATGTGACTGCATTGTAACCAATCAGCATATTGATGATATATGACTGTATTCTGGCCAATCAGCATTTTGACCAGCCATTATGGTAATTTTAGCAATAAGGTATGCGTTTATTACTAATAAGATTCTCGTTTGTCATCATTTTAACAGAAACCTAAACCTGTTACAGTAACCCCAAAGTTTGACCCTATGTCACCCGGTGCATTGGTTATGCCAAGACCAAGTCCCACTCATCAGGTAAGAAAACGCTTGCTATTTTTTTTTTTTTTTCTATTAGTTCAGTGAGGATAGCAACACCCAGGGCTCAAAATTAGCAGTAGCCTAATGCGCTCAGGATTTAAACAAAAAGTAGTGGGAGATTTTTTTAAAATAGACTGGGCCATTTTATTTCCTTATTGTGAATACACAAAGGGACTTTTAAAAGCACAATTCAGTCATATCATAATTCCTTCTCTTTGATCTTTGCACTTGTTTTCATTCTGGCTCAATTTCTATGATTTTCATTCAAATCACATAAGTATCATTACCAATCTTTGTCTCCATCTCAGAAATTGATGTAATTTCATTGTTTCCTAGTATTGACAAGATGTTCATGTGTTTGCATAAAAAATATCAGCCATTATCAAAATGTAATTTTTCTTTGAGATTGTACTTTAAATTGGTACTTAAAGTTGGGTTCGAGAATTCTTATGCTGTCAAAAAATTGGCAAAAAATTGCAAACACTCCAAGAAATAATACAGTTGGGGGGATCCCCAGAGAGTTGCATGAGTCGCACATCCAGGATGAAACACCAAGCTACCATTTTCCTAAATTATTTCCCAAAATGGACTACTATAATTTTACATAAAAATCACAGTTTGTCTTTAAAGCTGCATGGGTGTGGGTGCATTTCAATAAATTCAGGTTTCACTAGTACCGGTAGTACCAGTTGTACATTTATATTTCTGCATTAGGACAACAATCTACACATGCTAAATATTTATACACATATTTACATTACCCATGGGAATTTACAGTATGACAGATAATTTAGCAGTTTGAGCCCATCAAAACAAATCCAAGAGTTTTCATCAAGTTCATTTTTTACATAAAAAGACCAGACATCCTAAATTGTTATTTCTTTTATTACTATCTCCTAGTGGCAATATAATCAGCACAATTTACCAATCATTGATGTCGTCGTCGACCCACATCTGTCTACACATCTCAGACCACATCAAAGAGCTGGCGTATTGTTTATGTATGAGTGCATTATGGGGATGAAGCCATCTATGGGACAAGGTGCTATATTGGCGTAAGTCTACGGTTGAGTTTATTATGAGAATGCCGCAAAGTATGCATGATGGTAGTACAGTGATAATATTGATTCGCTTGCAGCTGCGATCATATCTTCCTGTACTGCCTGAGTCCATACTTTGCGGTATTTTCATTATAACACTTATTATACTGTACATCTTTCTCTGCATCTAGTAATAATTTGGTGAGATGTAACAGAAATGCCAGTGAAAAGCATTTTGTGCCTGTTTCATTTTTTTTTTTATTCGCTTGATTTCATTTCAGTTACACTACTTTGCTGCTGCATCCAATGTTAGCAAAAGAAAGTGTTTAAGGTAGCGAGACTATTATTTGTGTTGAAAATTACGATTTTCACATTTATTTATTAATTGATGAAATGCACTATAAACTTTCATGTGATAAAGTCAACATAACATAGAATGTCATGTAAGTTGGTTCAAATGTAGATTTTCTGAAGGGAAGCAAGGCAGCCTCAGTAGTGTTTTCCAAAATCAGCAACACTGGTTTAATTAATCTGTGTGCCTATAAGTTTCAAAGATAAACTCAAGACAAAGCAATGTTAGGATGTGTTATCAGTAGCTATCTGACACACAATGAGTGTTTCCAAACATTTGAGTGGTTTGTCTCCGCCCCTGTTTGTTTCACAGATTAGTCATTTGCATATGAATGTGTCATACAGCCACTGAAAAAAAATCATTGATTTTGGTGTTTTCATATGCCGAATTTATCCAATTATAGCTATCCCATTCCTTTATTTTTGTTTGGTTTCCAATAGCCTTACACATTTGGATGTCCCTACACATGTTAAAACAGACCTTGATGGGGAAACAAATTGCATGTGCCGATAAACAAGTTTGAAAATCTTTGCTGTTACTTCATGGACGTTTTCTAGGAGTTTATGTTTTTTCAAAATACAAGGTCTTTAACAAAAAATAACGTATACTTATTGTCGTCGTATTAACACCAAATTTTCACAGCTTTAAGGTGACAGTGAGAGGAACTTGAATGTGTCCAGACAAACTATTTCATCGATTATTTACCAACGAGTTG